CCGGTCCCACACCAACCGGCATTTTTCTACAGCAGTAGATTGGAGACGAAACACGGGGGGAAACTGTCGACAAGCACTTCAGTTCCAGTGTCTATAAATGAAGTCTCCATTACGGAGCTTTATCCAAGATGAAGGATTTTGGTGGAATTCAAAAGATAGATAGACTAGAAGATATGTATATAGAGAAACAGAGAGATTGGCAAGTGTCGTAGCTTAGACGACAAAGAAGGGGTTCAAAAACGGATAATATCCGAATTCGATTTCTAACTCATTATTTTCCATAAATTTTCCACAAAAATGTAACTGCATTGTATAATATGTTGGAAAATTTTCAAGCTATACTTTCTTGTACATTTCCTATGTGTTGGTAAGTGAAATTATGCTTTTGAACAATAAAAAAAGTATGTTTTGGGATCATGGGCGCCTTTGCAAGGTAGCCGTCCACCCGCATAGGACCGAATAATGCACACTCCTACTGCCCACCTTTTATCTCCACACATAATGAATCACGTACGCACCAAAATAAGTAGAAGGAACTAAATAAATTCACTTACGGAATACTAAGCAATTTGGACAATCAAGTGGGCCGCACAAATACACCTCAAAGTTGAAGCCCATGAGCTTATCCCGACGCACGAAATTGATACAATGATGATACACCAGCAGGACCGATAGGCCTGCGCCAATTGATACACCCACAACAACTTTTACTCCGAAAAGTTACCTTTCTCTCTCTCTCTTTGGATTTGGGATAGGGCTGAGCAGACTTTGGTAAACCGACCGAACCGTACCAAAATCGAACATTTTGTTACGTACCGAAACCGAACCAAATAATTTGGTTCGGTTTTAGGTTTTTATAAAATTTGGTTTTCGGTTCGGTAGAAATATTGGCTTCGGTAATTCGGTAAAAACCGATTACCGAAATAATTTAAGAATATTGTACAATTTTACCCAACCCACCACCAATATCCGGCTCAATATTAAAATATTGAATATCCAGCCCACTTCTAAATTAAGTCTCACTATCTAGGTTTCCCAATTCCCATCTTCGATCAATTCGATGGAATCAGCCGGCAGTGGGGAAGTCTCTTCGCAGAACTGAGTTTGTGGTGCCGTCTTCGTCGTGCTGTCTTCTTCGATCGCGCTGCCTTCTTCGACCCCTCCGCCTGGCGCTGCCTTCTTCGTCCCCTCCGCCCAGCGCTGCCTTCTTCGTCCCCTCTGCCTTGTGTTTTGTTATTTTTACTTTGTGGTATACTGGTATGTAATGGATTTAAACATCATGAATCTAATTATGTTTTGTCATTTTAAATTTAGAGAATGTAATGGACCTTTAGATTTCAGTCCTTTTTTTGGTTTTTTGGTAAAACCATTTACCAAACCGAATTATTTCGGTTTGGACCGAACCGATTAATTTAATTTTGGTTCGGTATTCAGTACATAAAATTAATAACCGAAATTTCGGTTTACCGAATTTTCGGTATGGTTTTACCGAATGAACACCCCTAATTTGGGGATGAGTTCAAGAATGAAAGAACTAACTGATACAACGTATCTGATAGGGAAGAATTTCTAGTGTTTCTGAACTCCAAAGAAAGAGAATGCGATTAAGAAAATTCCTGATTATTGATTGATTCATAATAACTACTCCCTTTGTCCCAAAATATTTGTCACACTTGCGTTTTCAGCAGTCACGAGAACTTTTGTTTATTTCTACGTTTTCATTGGTTATTTGATAAAATAAAATATTCTTGACACCTCTTATTTCGAAAAACTTTTTATGAAGTTTTTTGACTTGTAAATTTTATTTTTTATTTCTATACCAATATCTACTAATATACAAAGGTAAAGTGAGAAAATGAATAGTGACTTTTCCATCCCAAATCTACACGAGTATGGATGGGTCCGAAATGCTGGCTAATGATATGGGTAATCGCATGTTGATGGGCATGGGTGATTTGAAAAGTCCCATCCTAGAAAAGAGTGAAAAAATAAATTTTCACTTTATTAGTTAGTGAAAAAGACTTGGTACATTAATTAGTGGCTTTTTCTTTCATTAAGACCAAAAGCTTCTCTGTCATTCAATACCAAGAGCTTTAGTGTGAAAAATTCTCTCACCCAATCTCAAAAAAATCTCTTAATATACAAAGGTGAAGAGAAAACATGAACAATGTTTTTTCTCGCCTAAGGTAATGGGCTTCGGGTTGGGTCAACGAGTTAGGTATTAATTCTCGGATATTCAAATGTGTAAAGAAGAAAATGGTCCAATTTATGAAATGGGTCTTACGGTCGGGTATTCAAATGCTTTGGGAAAAAGCACTTTTTATCTCGGGTATCCAAGCATCTAAATAAGACATGGGGAGACGAAATTTTATGCTTTTAATGGAATGCATTTAATGCATTTAAGAGTCATGCCGATTGGATATCCGTGCGTGTAAAGAAGACACGGGGAGACGAGATTTTATGCTTTTAATGCAATACATTTAATGTAATTAAGAGGCATTCACACTGGGAGACGTATTTTGACGGCTTGGCCATATTTTTCACGTGTTCCCAAGTAAAGAAATCATTACTTCTCACCACTTCACACAAAAATTAATTATATAAATACAACCCTTCTTTACACAACCATTTCTCAATTCTCCACCATTAGAGCTCTTCGAAATTTCCATCTCAATATGGCTCCCAAACGCGTTTTTCCCTATCTATTTACCAATCTCGATGACCTCCAAAGGAACCAAAAGAACATTGATATTCATGTACGAGTTGTATGTGATCTTTGTCTAAAAAATACCAATGATTCTAGGTATTTTTTAGGCCTTCGAATTTCGCTCATGAAACAAATAAATAACAGTGGAGGAATAAGTTTTTAGAAATGTTTTCTTGGTGTGGATCTCAAAAAAGTTATTAATTTTTTATTTGGATATTGCATTCAAATAAATGTACAATTTATTCTTTAAACATATTATCTTGCTTTGTTGACAATAGGAAACTCGGATTCATTGCTCTATCAAAAAACCATACAATAACCGTTACAAAGCACAAAATGTGGAATGTGGTGCCTATGAGATAAAAAGTTTCTTGATCCATGACAACTATCAAACGGTGAAAACAACAAGGCATCCAAGTTATGAAAATTTATTTTGTTAAAATTTATTTTTTTTGTTTTAAATTTATTCCAGTATTTTTTGTTATAAATTTATTTTTTGTTGAAATTTTTGTAACTTATAGACCAATTCCAGTCTTTTTTAAAAATTGAACTTTAATTTATATATATAAATATATATATATATATATATATATATATATATATAATATTAATTCCAAAAAATATTTTGGAAAATTTATTTTATATAAGAAGTAAAATAAATTCTGAGTCACGCACCCACATTAATTTGAAAAAAGAAAAGCAATTCATTTTTTACTTTCAGCCACACACCCAAAACTACATTAATGGTGGACAACTTGAGAATCTCTTAATATACAAAGGTGAAGTGGAAAGATGAACCATGCTTTTTCCCGCCTAAAGTTATGGGTAAGGGGTTGTGTATTAATTTTCGGGCATCAGAATATGTAAATAAGAAAATGGGTCCAATTCGTGAAATGGGTATTACGGTTGGGCTTTTAATTCTTTGGTACCTGTAGAGCAATAAAGGCTAAAAGAGAAATCTATTGAGCCACGAACCAAAAGTACAATGCACCTAATGCACTTAAGAGGCACGCCTATTGGAAGACGAAATTTGACGGTTTGGCAACTCTTTTCACGTATTCCAATGTAAAGACATCATTAATTTAAGAGAAAGTGTAAAAATTTTTGAAAAAAGAGTAAAAGTTTCTGAAAAAGTGTAACTTAAATAAATATTTTCTAGGAAAGTGTAAAAGTTTATGGGAAGAGTTAAAGTTTATGAAAAAGTATAGCTTAAATAAATACTTTATGGGAAAGTGTAAAAAGTTTATGGAAAAGAGTTAAAGTTTATGAAAAAGTATAACTTAAATAAATACTTGATGAGAAAGTATAAAAGTTTATTGGAAAGATTAAAAGTTTATGGGAAAGTGTATTAATTAAAATAAATATATATGGGAAAGTAACAGTTTATGGGAAAAAGGTAAAAGCATGATATGACTTTACACTGACAAGCGTGTGATGAGGCTTTGATAATGTCGAATGCTTTGGACCTGTTTTAATTAAAGAAACACCACTTTTTTAAGTTTATTTTCAAATCACATCTCATCCTCAAGCTTTGTGTTTGACTTGACATTTTAATTGATTATGTTATTGTACGCTATTTTTGTTCAACATTTATTTTAATTTGATTTAGAAATATAATGTATAAGGAAGTCTTTCAAAACCTTTAATTTCGTTTTTTTGTCTTCACTATACATTCCTCAATATTAGTATATAATACTTTTAATGTTTATATGGAATACAATTTCGTTGTGTTGTCTTTATATACACTATAAATTTATTTTTTATTTTCTTACACTGACTCAAAATATTGTCCGTGCAACGCACAGGTTAGAGAACTAGTGTAAATAAAATGAATTGAAAAAATTTAATATTTACCTCGAGAATACAAGTGTAACAAACATTTAGGGACAGAGGAATTATAACAGATTACAATATATAGAGATGAGAGTCACACCTATTGACCTAATGGGCTCGGGCCCATACTAAAACTATAAACCCTACTAACTATAGCTTATTAAATAATAAATGCTAATTAACTAGAATGCTAATCATGATACGTATCATAAAAGTTTGAACATCGGGTCTCACCCCTAGAGATATAATGTAAAAAAAATTATTTCTTTTCTTTTTTACATTGAGAAGTCTTGGAGTACTTGCGATATACGTTTGGTGTACCGCAAACATTTTTACTCCCTCCGTCCTATAATGATCTTCCCAGAGCACTATTCCAACTTCACGGGAATTTATATTTATTTGTGTTTTTTCATGGCCTATATGATAAAATAAAATATTCTTGTCACCACTTGTTTTGTTGAACTTTTGATGTAGTTTTTAAATATGTATGTTTTATTTTTTATTTCTATACCAATATTTAAATAAAATAGATTGAAAAAATTTGGGATTTTTCTTCGTTTTGCGAACCGGGAAGATCATTATAGGACGGAGGGAGTATTAGGTTGTGCGGTGTGGGAGCATATTGAGCGGTCCGAAAGGGGAACACACCCCTCCACCCCCGAATGACGTTGTCCATGAAACACAACTAGAGAGGTCAAACCGCGGAAAAGGGAAACAAAGAGGCAACTAACCTAAGAAAAAGAAGCACCAACAAACTCTGGACGCCTCAAAAAGAGGTTGCATTGGCGAGAGTTTGGGTAATCATTTCCGAAGACCCCATAAAAGGTATTTTTTTAATATACCCTTTTTTGAATTTCATTTAAAAATGTGACTTTCAAAAAATATAGGCAAGGCACAAAGGAGAGATAGATTTTTGGAATAAAGTCACCGAAATTTTATGAACTCCTCTAATAACGGCCTTACTTACTATTCCTCTTCGTTAGTTCAAAGTTTCGAGACATGAACAAAAAAGTGGAATGATTTATCGGTTCCTACCAAAAAGCTATAGACAAACGCCGTAGAAGCGGTAGTAGTGACAAGTGGTTGACTAGTCTATTTCACTTTTAATTAAATTTTTTAATTTTTTAATGTTTAAAGAAGGGGAATTTTTGTGTTTAAAGTGTCATTCAATCACTCGAGTCAGTGGCAAGTTACCGTACTAAGATAAGAAATATCAAAGGGAGTGACTGAGTCAGGGGGGGTAATGCATTTTCTTCCCATTCCCATTTTCATTTCTCTCTGCCCAACTCGTCAAATCAGTTTTATGCGCCCATCATAAATCGTGTTCCATCTTCTTCTTCTTCTTCAAAATAAATAAATAAATAAATAATCAGATAGAATCATGTATTCTCCCCCTCCCTGCCTGTTCTGTTTGTTCTTCATCGCCGCCATGTTTGCCGGGGTTTCTTCCCAGCCTCTCGGAAATTACTGTCCCAACAACACAATTTACGCCCCAAACAGCACTTACCGATCCAACCTCAACTCCCTCCTCTCCGCTCTCGCCTCCAACGCCACCCGTCCAAACGGATTCTACAACTCCACCGCCGGCGGCGGAGCCACCGCCGCGTACGGCCTGTTCATGTGCCGCGGCGACGTCTCCGCCGCCGACTGCCGCACGTGCGTGCGCGACGCCGGCGAACAAATTCTGAAGGCGTGCCCCGTCCAAACGGACGCCGTCATCTGGTACGACAACTGTATGTTGCGTTACTCGGACGCGGCGTCGATGTTCGGAAGGGCCGACACGTCCTACACGCTGAATCTGTACAATACTCAGAACGATTCGCAGCCGGCGAGGTTCATGGATTCGGTCGGGAACGCGCTGAGCACGATGGCGGTTGCGGCGGCGGCGGGGGACGGATCCGGCCGGAAATTCGCGACTCTGGAGGCGAATTTCTCCGCCTTTGAGAAGATCTACACTCTGGGGCAGTGCACGCCGGATCTATCGGATTTGGATTGCCGGAGCTGCCTGACGAGCGGAATCGGCAAGCTGCCGGGGTGTTGTTACTCGGCAAAGGGTGCCAGAACCATCTACCCGAGCTGCAATGTCAGGTATGAGGTGTACCCTTTCTACAATAACAAGCGGCCGGCCTCTACACCACCGCCGTCTCCTTCTCCTCTCCGCCCTGCTCCGTCTATTCCACCTCCCCCCCTTTCTACCACCTTTGAAAGTAAGCCTCTTGACCATTACACTAGCTACTCCATCTCTCATGAAGTGATTCATTTTAACTCTAATATATTTTTATTACAAATTAAATATAGTAAAATTTGCAATAAATAATGCTAAAACATACTTTCTCCGTTCCTTTAAATCCTTCCACTATTGACTTTTGGCAAAAATAAGGAAAGAGTAATTTTGGTTGATTTTCCAATTTTGCCCCTGATGTGATGGATAAAAGTAAGATGTGATAGTTTGGTTATTAGTGAAAAAGTAAGATGTGATAGATAAGGTATGAAAAAGTAAAGGTAAAAGTAGTTTTTTAATAGAAACTGGAAGTGTTTTAAGGAATTCAAAAAAAACGAAAGGAGAAGAGTTTTGTGGAACGGAGGGAGTATGTTATTTTTCAATATAGGTATTTAGTTTTTTTATTTTGTAAATAGTATTTGAATAATATCTAGTGACTAAAACAATGTCTAATGGACATTTAGTTTGAACAATGTCCAGTGATGATGAATATTTACTTAAACAATGACCAGTAGACAATAATCAGTGGTACTGAATTTGAAAATAAAAACATATGGTACTACATTGGTAAAATTACTATGTTATTAGTACTATTTAGGTAAATTTCCTTTAAATATATAGTTTTAAATTCATAATGTCACGAGTATAAATTTTAGACTTTCTAATACGGAGTATATTCTTTTATAGTCACACAGTAAGGTGGATTAGATAAAATCATTTTAAATGTAAAAATTTATAAAATGAGAATATATCTAAAGGTCATAGAAGAATTTGTCAAAAATTTTATATACGGGTATGAAGCTAAATCCTAAAATGATTTCAATATTGATTAAAATATTACTTTTTCATACTTTAATATTATATCAAATCAAATAAATCTTTTCTCAAAGTACCTCTCATCGGTGACTAGCTTCATATCTACTTTTTTCACACATGGGGTGGAGACATAAAAAGTGAGGGTATTTTTGTCTTTGAGGTGTTCAAGTGTTACCAAAGTAAATACTCCGTATTGTAATCCATTTTGACACAAGAAAAAGAGAGAATATTGTAATTACAGTGGGGTTCTAGTGACACCGGAGTAGAGTGACACTCTGGTGTCATTGTCATTTTAGAGCACTTTCGTTGCTCCGTTCGTAAAATTGATGGTTCCTACCCCCTAACCCACCCCTAAACCCCCACTCCGCTCCGTTCGTAAAATTGACGGTTGTAATTAAATTTACATTATAATTATTTATATCTTTTTTATTATATGTAGTTAAAGAATGTGAGTTTGACAAAAATAAATCAAACATTCATTTTTTTAGGAAGTAGTATGTCGGTTTAGGACTTTTCAACTGTTTGACTATAGTGATTTGGACTCCAATTTTAAATTTTATTACTTTTTAATCTTTAAGTTTTGACTTTTTTCTTATTTTTAAAAATGTTTAAAAGAGGTTGATTATGGGTAGAATTGTCCAAAATACCTTTACTAAAAAAATGTTTAAACATGAAAAATAGAAAGATTAAATCCGTATGGAAAAAAAAGAGAAGGGGTTTTTGTCCAAACATACATACATATGAGAAGTGAGAAAAATAAATTCAGACAAAGAAAAAAGAGAAACGAAAAGATTAAATCCGGACAAATATTATTATATTGAAGGAAAAACACCTTGTTTAATCATACTACACTCATATGTGTTTTTATGTGAAATAGATAACTAAAATACGGAGTAATTTCTAACAAATACACATAAAAAACAACCTAGTTGGAGCCCACACAATATGGTTATGGGGAACTATGTGTACACATAACATATTCTTATTATTGTAGACATGTCACTCTACTCAGTTTTTGTGACTGATTTTTTATTATTATTTGAAATTTGTTGACTGTGTGTCATTCTAAAATTTCTAATTACTACTTGCCATTGTGTTTGGAAATCAATGACATTGCTTATTGGCATAAATTATACTCGAGGGTGTTTAAAAATTAACTTTACACTTCTCTATTTTCCTTTTTAAAAAATAAAGACTTGGACAATTTATTTCTTCCTTCTAAATACATTTCAACCATTTCTTTTGACTTTTCACCAATATTTCTTATTTTCAAGATTGTTTTTAAAATTTCATAAAGTCAGAGTGTGAGGTTGATGTAAGGTATGTGTTATCAGGCGTGCAAGAGGCGTCAATACCTCCCTCACGCCTCCTTCACGATGTTGCACGGCGTCGGGCTTCAATTGGAGGGGCGTTGCTCCTCTTCCAGCTAGCCACATCACGGGTGTTGCCAGCTTCCCTGCCCCTTTTTTTTAATATTTTAATCAATCAAAAATTTAACACATATTCATATCTTATCACTTTTCATCACACTCACCATAACACACATTTTTTTATCACTTCAATCATATATCTTTACACCCCATCAAGCCCCCCGTCAAGCCTGCCATAACAGATGGCCTTAGAGACAGAATGAAATGTATTACCACAAACTAACAAAGTCTGCCATAATAAATGGACAGTTTTAAGTGAAGTGTGTGTATGGTGTGGATGCAGGAAAGAAGAAAAGTTCATCTTCTAAAGTGATCATTGCCATTGTAACTCCAGTGGTTGGGATAATACTCTTCATTGCACTCTTATGTTGTATGAGAATTAGATATGTCAAGAAAGGATATACAACAGCAACACACCAAACAGGTTCACTATTTACCATGTTTTACCTTTTGTTTGTTTGACTTGCCATTTTTTTCACTTTTTGAAATTTCCTGTAGATGTGTCTGGGATTTCAAATGTGGAATCACTGCAATATGATTTCAATACCATTCAAGCCATTACAAATGATTTCGCCCCGGAAAGTAAAATTGGTGAAGGTGGATATGGCTCTGTATACAAGGTAATAACTGCTAAATGAACAAACTCAATCGAAAGCTCAAACTTACAGTTGAAGAGTCCCACGAATGTTTGTTTTGGCGAGGTCAAATTGTTGGTTTTAGTCAATTATTATGTCTTTAATTTGATCCCTAACGAATACACAGGCCAAGCTTCCCGAAGGACTAGACGTAGCTGTGAAAAGACTTTCGAGATTCTCGGGCCAAGGGGCTCAAGAATTCAAAAACGAGGTTGAAGTAGTTGCGCAACTTCAACACAGAAATCTTGTGAGGCTGCTTGGGTTTTGCTCTGAAGGAGAAGAGAAGATACTGATCTATGAATTTGTTCCCAATAAGAGCCTTGACTACTTTTTATTTGGTAGCCACTTTTACCTCATTCTTCACATAATCGAATAAGTTGCCTAAATTTTTTTCACACACCGGTTTATTTAATTGTCTCATTCTTGTGACAAACACATATTCAGATCCTGAGAAGCGGCGCCTATTGGATTGGCCAACGCGTTACAGGATTATAGAAGGGATAGCACGGGGGCTGCAATACCTTCATGAAGACTCCCGACTCAGAATCATACACCGTGATCTCAAAGCAGGCAACGTACTACTCGATGAAAACATGAACCCAAAAATAGCAGATTTTGGCATGGCCAAAATCTTTGGAGTTGACCAAACCCAAGGAAACACAAATCGAGTTGTCGGGACATAGTAAGTACGAAATTACACTTGAACCCTTGATACCATGACCCATAATTCGGTATACACACACTAACATCTTGTGTATGTTGGCTAGTGGCTACATGTCCCCAGAGTACGCAATGCACGGGCAGTTCTCCGTGAAATCGGATGTCTATAGTTTTGGCGTTCTGGTTTTGGAGATCATAACTGGGAAAAGGAGTTCCAATTTCAGTGAATTGAGTGAAGCACAAGATCTTCTTAGCTATGTGAGTATATATTAGTTTTCGGTTCGGTATGGGATTTTACTCAGTACCGATCTCGATTCCGATCCTGAAATATCGGTTTGGTATGGTTCGGGATGGTTCGGTATCGGTTTTGGTACAAATCGGGAAGATACATACCTACTTACACATTAAAATTTAACAACGCCCCTTTATTTTTGAAAATTAAAAGTGAATTTAAATAAAAAAACATTAAAAATCTAAAAAAATGAATATTTGAATGCAAGAAATGCGTATCAAAACTTGGTTTATATTTCACAAACTAAAAAAATGAACGACAACAAAGGAGTATTTCGAATCTTTGTGAATACTTTTATGTTCATACACAAAAACTAAAACTCAAATAAAAGTATAATTTACACATAATAGAACTTGAACCGATTTTTTTTTAAAAATATTATTTAGTGAAGGAATATAAAAATATTACTCCGAGTTATTATTTTTTATAATATTTTAGTATATATGTTCGGTTCGGGATTTTCGGTATGGACGTCACCTCGTACCCTTCCCAAATACGGTACCGACCATTCAGTTCGGTACGGTTCGGTTTCTTCTCGGTACTTTTTCGGTTCGGTATTCTTGGTTTTTTCGGAAAATTTCGGTATCGGTTCGGTACTTGTTCACCCCTAATTAGTTGTCTATGGGATTTTACTGGGTTTGTTGTTGTTGTTGTTGTGTTATATTGTTAACCACACACACATATATATTATAAACTTTAATTATGTAGGTTTGGAAATATTGGAGGGATGAGAGGCCTATGGAGATACTTGACCCTACCCTAGGAGATTCATACTCAAGAAATGAAGTGATCCAATGCATGAACATAGGGTTGTTGTGTGTTCAAGAGGAGGTGGAAGAGAGGCCTACAATGGCAAGCATTGTTCTCATGCTCAACAGTTACTCCACGACGTGGCCGGTCCCGCGCCAACCGGCATTTTTCTACAGTGGTAGATCGGAGACGAAGCACGGGTGGAAACTGTCGTCGGAGCAGTCCACAAGCACTTCAGTTCCAGTGTCTATAAATGAAGTCTCCATTACGGAGCTTTATCCAAGATGAAGGGTTTTGGTGGAATTCAAAGGATAGATAGACTAGCAGAGATGTGTATAGAAAAACAAAGAGATTGGCAAGTGTCGTAGCTTAGACGACAAAGAAGGGGTGCAAAAACAAATGATATCCGGATTCGATTTCTGACTCTTTATTTTCCTTAAATTTTCTACAAAAATGTAATTGCATTGTATATGTTGGAAAATTTTCAAGCTATACTTTGTTGTACATTTCCTATGTGTTGATAAGTAAAATTATGCTTTTGAACCATAAAAAAGTGTTTTCGGATCATGGGTGGCCCGAAGGGTGCAAGGTAGCCACCCGCACATGGCTCTCAAACTTTTAGGGTCCGATTTTGTTAGATGTTTATCATTCTAATTGTTTGATATATCTAAATTTATACTTTACTATTCAAATTGATACAAAACTGGTTATTAAAAATCAAATTTAGCACTAATTTTAAAACACAAGTACTCTGTAAAAAAAATAGGACTCAACAAGTGATTTTGGCACAAAGCCAATTTCATTTTTTCACATTTCCGGGCTGACCCTATTTAGGTACGATATTTTATTAAATTTATTTTTTGCATGTTACGGAAATACTCTCTCTGTCCCCCATATATCTTCCCATTAGCCTTTTTTAATTATTTGTCTCACATAGATCTTCTCATTACCTTTTTTAACATTTAAAATACCACAACTACCTCCACTTATTTTATTTATTACACCTTTTCCACCTTATTTAATACACCCCACCCATTTTCATTAAGGGTATTTTGGTAAATTTTCACTTTTTCAACTCTCCTTAAAAACCACAAAAAGTCAAAACAAGAAGATTTTAGGCGAACGGAGGAAGTATTATATAATAAAATTTAAATAAATAAATACATTTATGTATTTAAGAATTATATCAAAATAATGTTCTATAAAACTTGAGATGATTTGATTATATTATTTCCACTAATAATTAAAATAAATAACTAAAAAAGATTTCATCATCTTATTTGGTGACTAGTAGGCCCGGTATGATTGAAGTTTAATACTCTTACAATTCTTAAAGCATCAACAATGGCAACGCGAAAATGGAATGCCACGACATAGAACATTTTAACCAATTAAAAATAGTCCAGTCAGCGTGTGACAAGTAAATGGAGTGACAAGTCCTACAATGACAAATCATTATTTTTTATCACTTTTTTACATTTTTTATGTTTTTTAAACATAAAAAAATATTTTTATTATTTATTTTATTAAAAAATTATTCTACTTTCTTGTACATTTTTTTCATAAAAAATTTAAAAAAAATTATTTTTAAAAAAAGAAAAAAAGTACTATGAAGTGTCACACTCATGCCTCACCAAAGTCCAAACAAGGCATTTTGGTCTTGTCATGCCATGATATGAGTGGAAGAAGCTAATGTGACAGTGCAAGGCATCCATCTTCCTTGTCATTGTACATGCTCTTGGGTTTTGGTAATGGGTGGAAGCTGAAAAGTCCAGTCTACGATATAAATCACATCCCATTCATTATCATTAATTACGATTGCAATAAAAATGATAATTATAATTACAATTATAATAACAATAATAAAAACAATAATAATGGTAATAATAATAAAAGTAATAGTAATGTTGATAATGATGTCGATATTAATAATAATAATAATATGGAGTATTATTAAAAGACTTAATAGCTCCAAAACTTCATGCCATTTAAAAAATTAGCATCGTTGCCCCTTATGTTTTCGAAACATATTCATCAAATTTTCGTGATTTCAAAACATTGTGTTTGCACCCCTTTAGATTATTTTTTCGGTCATTGACAGATCATTTTTAGGTAAAGAGAGAGTATTATTGGTGATTATTTGTCAAGCCACGCGAGGAAAACAAGGCACATTTTTCCTTTTATTTTCTGGTTAATTCTCTTTTTGTATCTCTTTTTTCTTCTCTTGTTTCCTTTTTTAAAGGTTTTTTAAATTTCTATTCTAATTTTTTAATTAATGTTTTGGAATTTTGAAATTATTTGTGTTTGAAATATAAAAAAACTAATATAAACTTCATCCATCTCAAATTAAATAATTTAATTTCTTTCGTTCTCGAGAATAAAAAGAAAAAGATTTTCTGAGAAGTTCAAATAATAAAATTAAGAATAAGAAAAAGAAATAAAATAAAATGGAAAAAAAAAATGAAAAAATAAAAGATACAAATGCTCTTAAAAAAGAAAGCACAGCTAGTGAGTACGTTAATATGGTTCTTTTTCTAGACATCTAAAAAAATCTTATAAGGGGATGCCCCAAAAAAATTATTTCTTTAATTTAAAAAATAAAAATATGATATTTTTTTCAATTTATTGAACCTACTCGGCGTTGATCTTAAAAAAATCTTTTTACTTAACCCAACAAAATTAAAAATGACTTAATTTAACGTCTCCAAAAAGAATCTTATCAGTACACTTCATAATTACATATTTTCCTTTTCTATAAGAGTATTTTTGTATGTTTTTTGTTTTCTTTCATTTCCTTTTTCTATTGTTTATCTTATTTGCTTTACTTTTTCTATCCTCATTTTTTGAAGTTCCAAAAAAAACTTTTAAATTTGAAAAAAAGATAAATTTTTTATTTGAGACAGATGTTGTATATGTTAACTTTTTTTTTCATTTTGTTTATTTTTATTTGGAACACAAACGAATTTGAATTTTTGAAATATTATGATGAATAATTTAAAAAAACTAAAAAATATATTTAGATAAAACAAATAGAGAAAAAGGAAAAAAATTAAAAACAAATAAAAATAGAAAATGAACTATTGTTGCCCCTTGTAATTTGAAAAAATTGTTACTACTTACTAGCGCTCCCTCTTCGCTAAAAAAATGGCACGAAATTTTTGGAAACTACAAGAGTTTCGTAAATAAGGTTTAGTGCCTTTTTCTAAATCAGGTGAAGTGCTGAAGCTATAGGCCATTATTATTAGTATTATTGTTATTGTTATTATTTTTATTACATTTATTGTTGTTGTTGTTGTTGTTGTTATTACGAACGGGGGGTGTATTATTAGTACTATTACTACTACTATTATTGACATTCTACCGCTCCAACGAATAACTCTACTTTATTCCTGGTTTTTGGTGTATCGTTCTACCAGTCTAAATTTTGCACGTTGCGGTTTTATCTTGGGAGATAATCGCTCACGATGTCAGTGCGGGAGGTGAGCAGTACTAGATACATTGAGAAAAACTCTAGCGACTTCGTTTTCCTTAAACATCTTTTCAGGTACTCCTTCAGTCATTGCTGCTCAAACCAGCTGGTCCGACGCTCTACATTGCACGCTCAAGATATTGTTCGTCATCTGATCTCCGACGCCTAATTTTCTTTTCTTTATTTC